GGGGGGGCTTTGAGAGGAGATTTTCTCAGAAACGATCAGAAGAAGGAGGCACCATCATCGCCCCTGCTCGAAGCTCCGCCGCGGCCCGCCAGGACTAGGCGGGAAGGCCTCAGCCGAGGCCGGCGACTCCACTGCCGGGCCGCGATATGTTTTCCTGGCCGCGGGATAAAACGAAGCCACTTTCCCTGGCAGTCCTTTCCACGAAGCGAGCTTTCCTGCAGAGGTCCCTGCGGAGCAGGAGGAGAGCGGCGCGGGCTCCTGCCCGCGCTCCACGGCCCACGGCCGAGGGCACCTCCTGAGAGGATGGGCCGAAGCGAAACCCCACCCCGCCGGCGGCTGGGGGGGGAGGGAGGAGCGGGAAGAGGGAGGTGCTGCCGGCAGCGCCCTGCCCACCCCTGGCCGGGCGCTGGCGGAAGCGCAGGCGGTCGGGGCTGCCTCCCTATCAGACCCTCGGCGGCGGGAGGCGGGGCGAGAGCCGGGGCCCGGCGGCATCCTCCCCAGCGGCCATCACCGGGGCTCCATGGAGAAGCGGGGCGCGCCGCTGGCCCCCGCCCCGCGGGGCCCAGTGCTGCACATCGTGGTGGTGGGCTTCCACCACAAGAAAGGCTGCCAGGTGAGGGGGCGCGGGTGCCCGTCGTCTCCCGCCTTTCCCTTCCGCTCCCTGCCCTGCCCCGGGTCACTTTCCCCGCGCTGAGCAGCGCCTGCCACTGCTTCCCCCAGCCTGGGGCGGGGCGGCCCGGCTGCGGTCCTGCGGGGAAGGCTTGAGCCCCTGCGGGAGGGGTCGCGCCTGATGGGGGGGAGGAGGCTTTGCTCCAGGGGGTGGGTTAGGGAGCGGTTTGAAACTAGCAAAGTGCGTTAGGGCCCCAGTTAGCCCCGGCTTCCCCCGGAGAGGGGGCTAGGCTGGGCCGGGCCAGGGGTTCCCTCAGCTCGGGGCGGGACGGGGGCGGCCTGGCGGGGCCGTGACTCAGCCTGCTCCGGGCGGTTAATGTTTTACCGAGTTGCGTACGTGACTGCTACCTGTCCTGCTTCGGCGCTCCCGCCGGGGGGCGAGGCGGAGCGAGGGCCGGCGGGGTGAGCTCCCCGCCTCCCGTCCCCCCGTTCTCCTGTAGATGCTGGGAGACGGCTCAAATCGTGGCACCCGTTATCTGATGTGAGTCGTGCGTGTTTAGTGCGTTCAGACAGGGAAGTGAGAGAAAAAATTATCTCTTTACCTACCTTCTGTTCTTCCCGAGCAGCGGCGCCTTGAACTCTCGCGGGTACAACTTGTACACAAACAGCCTGATGGCCCCAGGGCATAAGTCCACCCTTGGTTTAAGTTTTCTCTGTGTGTCTCTTCCCTTCTTTCATAAATGCTTGACTGCTTCGTGTGGTCTCTCAGGCAGAAGAATTTTATGTTCTGTATTTCATAGGTGTTTTACGCTCTAATTTTATTTTATGTTTTTTTTTAACCCTTGAGACAGGAGATGTTGTTGCCCAGCCGGGCTGCACACACAGTCGCTTTGCTGTGACAAGAGCGGATAGATACAATGTTGAATTTGCAGTGAGTCTTTCCACAGAGCGGTCTCAGTCTTTACAAAAATTACCAAAACAGTAATGAATGTGATGGTGGTTGTTACACAAGAATTGGTCTGACATGAATGCATTTCATACAAGGTAGCAGAGAGTTAAATTAATCTTTGTTTTATTTCCTGAAACATTAACAAGCATTGTAACATGTAAAACAACCTCCTACCAACAGAGGCTGAAGCACAAGTGCAAGAACTCATTGTAGGTGTTCTTCCATCACTTTTTCTGAAAGACCTGCATGGTTTTGTAATGCATCCTTTCTCCTCAGGCTGTCTAGGGGCTGTTCACATGTGAATGTTTGCAGGATCAGTTCCGGTGAAGTAATTAGATAGTCTAGCTTGCAAGGTTTGCAGTATTTATCTGTCACTTTCTTGTCAAAGACCGTTACGAGATGAGTGTTATTTGGGTGTCTGTAGGAGGAAGAGTGCATTTTTGCCCTCACCTTGTTGTTGGCTTCTTGGACAAGACAGGTTGGAGACAAAAGCAGAGGTGGCTTTTGTAGCTTCTGTTCTTCTCTTGGGGTCTGTATTTCTTTTCTTGTAACATTATGCAGTGTTGATGCAAAGCTACACAAAAAAAAAACCCCACAACAACACCAAAATATAAATTAGTAGCAGTGAATTTTATCTTGCTGCCAGTAAAATGTAGACATATGTTTTCAGATATTGTCAAAAATTGGGTTGGAATACCTCTGAACCAAAGTCTTTAAGTACCTCAAGAAATGAACTGGAGAAGTTGGAGAGGAAGGTGGTTGGGGAAGGGGAGGGGGTAGCTGTGTGACAAGGAGAAGAACTGCAGGAATGTAATGACAATTGGTAGAACCAAAACCAGCCAGACTTCCTATGGGAAATCTAACCAGAAATCTAATTTTAAATATATCCTACTTCTGACTTAGCAGATTTGTTACTGAACTATAAAAATCATTTCCTAAAAGAACTGGAGACAGGGAGCTGGACAGCTATAGCCTAATGAGTTTGACATCAGTAGTGTGCGAGGCTCTAGAGAATTTGTGAAGGAAAGAATTAATTAACAACATGAAACTAAGTAGACTGAGTCCTGTGGGCATTCACTAAGGATAGATCATGCCTGACTGACCTGCATCTTTTGTAAGAATAAATGATTGATTTACTTTCTCTGTAAAAGAAACAGAGTAGCTTGAATCTGCCTGGAACTTGATAATGGATCATACAGCACTAAAAAAAAAAAAAAAGTTTGGGTTTTTGTTTTTTTTAAGGTGGAAATACTGGAGAATTAGTACAAGAGCTGGTACTTGGGTAAGAAACAGTATGAAGGAGAGGAAGAAGCAACAGATTTGTGTCAGAAGAGGAACAACTGGCCTGAAAAGTGCTTGCACTGAATTTGGGCCCGCATAAGTGGAGCTGGCATTTACACACTAAAGTCTAACTCTGATGAGCAAACTTGAGGAATCAGTGTTACAAAGGAAGACTGGAACGTCATGCAAGAGCTGGATGATAAGGAATGCTGAAATGGTAGAAATGGGGTGCATTGTAAAGTCATGCAATAGGAATGAATAACAACAGTATAGGCTTGGGAATTAACATGAGGAGACCTCTGGAAGAGAAAAAAGACTGCATATGATCAAGGATAAGTCACAGAACTGGTGTGATTTGGGGGCAAGAGTGGCAACAAATGTAGTCCTATAGTGTAATAATATATTTATTGATGTATAAAAATTCTGATCCACATTTCAGAAAAATGGATTTGGATTCTCTCTGTCACTTCTAGGAACAAATGAGGTAGTTCTTGGGCAGTCTGTTTTCAAGGAGGACATAGAAGACCTTGCCTAGGTAGGCTAACAAAATGGATTTTGAGGCTGTATTCATATGAAGACTGTAAGCCACCTCTGCAAATATGGGAACATTCTCCCCTTTTCCTCTCATGCCTCTTCAACACTGGAAAGCAGAGGCAGTTGTGTGGGAAGCTGAAACGGGGAACTGAAGTGACCAAACAATAAGCCTTGTTTTGTTGGGTTGGTTTTGAGCTGGTTGGTTCACAGATTCTCTTTGCTGAGTGGACATCTGCAGAAGACAGCTACATGGGCACAAGGAGAAGACCAGTAAGGGGGTGGAAAAGAGTCTCTTGAAAGTGGCAATCTGGGACTTCTCTTTTTGCTTGTCATGTTTGCTCATGGTGTTTGGAGCATTCATTGAACCACTGCATTACACACAATTGTATTCCAGGAGGCTGTTGGAAAGTGAAAAATAAGGAAGACAAAACAACCATTTAATTTAATAGACAGTGTTAGCACAAGAACCAGTGGATACCAACCGTCTGCAGGCATGCTGTAGACTGCATATAAGAAACTGCTAATTGCGGAAAAGCAAAGTTCCAAAGCACCTTTCAAATGGCAGTAATTCAGAGTGAATCTGGAGAGCTTCAGATCGAGAGATCCTACAGCTAGCCTGCCTGTCATAACAGGAAGTTCCCTGGTTTGCCTGAGAAGGCTTCTTTCGGGTTCTGTGCTTCCAGCTCTGTTTTCTCTGTAGTCTTACTAGGTAAGGCATGTGGAGTTAGATATTTTAATGGATTTCTTGATGCTAGGTGTTTTCATTAGCTGACTTCCCCTCTGAAGCTTCATCATCTGAAGTGTACAGCTCTTCCTGTTGGTTAACTTACAGTATAAGAAATGTTTAGCCCATAGAGCACTTTTATGTGCAGTTTGGAAATGTATAGGAACATCTTTTTCTTGCATAGACTTGAAAAACAATCTATATGCATTTGTTTACAAAAGAGAAGGAGAGTCAGGGAACTGGTCCATTTCTGTGTGCCTTTTGATAGCATGAGCACGATGATTGTTTCACATGCTACTTCCAAGGGCCTACTGCTGGACTGTTCGTCTTCTTGCTGGGTGAAGTAGGATTATGCAGGAAACAAAGTGAAGGTTTACCATACGTATGTTGTTTAGTCTGAGGATGCAGTTTCTTGGGCAGTTGTTAAAAACTTAGAGCTGCTGGTCACTGTTAGCAAGGCTTTGTGCTGTGTGAAAGTACCATGTTGCATTTTCAAACTAAAAATTGTGAACACATTAGAAGGGGTTTTCTCTAACAAGTACAGAGTAAGCTTTTGGAGAAGCTGTAGGCTTTTGTTTACACAAGCAGATTGCCGGCCTGCTTCTTTGGGCCTCTTAGTTATTGACTTGGACTGTGATACCAATGAGATAATAAAAAAGTGCTGGTTGCTGTATCTCTTTACCAATGAGAAGAGGTAGTTATGGCAGAGTGCTTGGAGAACGGGAGGAGAAGCTTGGATAGAAACAAGGTCCACCTGGTGCTTGACACGCTCTCAGCAGGTCTGTTAAAGAAGGGAATGACAGTTGGGGTGAAGCAGGCATCATGATGGGTTTCTTTGCTTTGTATGTATCGGCTGACTTGTTACGGGAATCCTCCTCAGTGCATAATTAAGTAGCACTCTGTGTAATTAAGTAGTCCCAAAATGGGCAGAGCTCACGGGTAGTATTCATTCAATCATGATTTTCATTCATCTGAAATGAAATGACAAACACTTCATTAGTATTCCTCCCAAAATTGCTTTTTTTGATACCTGTTTGCAGCTGGAAAGAGGAGTAGCCTTAGGTGAAAGGAACAGTAAACACAGCTCTTTGTCATATGTAGTTGCTCATACTCTTGTCCATTAATGCAAAACACATGGTTTTGGTGTGGTATGAGTTTGTACACGCTTCTCGGGCTCTATGGGACTCGGGTCACAAAAGCGTTGGAGCATAAATTGAAAATAAGGGAAGCCTGCCACAGAAATGGTGTTATCTGTTTTGGAGTATCTGTAGCTGGTTGTCTCATTAGTTACTGCAGCAGGTTATTGGTCCATCTCCCTGCTTCTTATGTTCTGTTGCTCTCCTGCTTCAGTATAGGATGGTAAGACTTGGATTTTGGGGCTGTTTGTGCCCTTCTTCTGTAGAGGCTGATAACAAATTCCTCAGTAGTTTTCGGGAGCTGTAGTAGTTAGTGGCTAGTGATTTTGGAGCAAATAAAGGGAAAGGGTTTTGGGGTTGGTTTTTTTTTTCAGAATCAT